AATATGCTTTCTATATCCTTTTAAATTCTGTAAAATCTGTGGTAATGTCTCCTAGATCTTGATATTATAATTTTAAAAATGTATAAGTGATATTGTGTAACAGGAAGAAAAGGTCTAAAGGAGCAGGGGAAGTGGGAGGAGTATGGGAAAGGGAAAAAGGGAAAAGTAAAAATATGAGAAAAGGAAAAAAAAGGAAACAGAGTCTTTGTAAACAGGGAAGGGTGGAGGGGGTGAAGGGAGGGCAGGGGGAGGGGGAAAAAATAAGAACCAAGATATATCATGTTAAAGTACAAGATCCCAATGATGAATGTAACTGTATTTTATACCTAAAATGTACCAATAAACTTAATGGGGAAAAAAACTATTTTATTTTATCTGAAACATTTTTATACCTGTCTAGTAAGGCTAAATTGATATTAACATGTCTCTGGTCAAAACAAATTCAACATGAACAAAAGTAAAGAGCAAAACTTAGGAGTATGTTTAATTGTAAACATGTTACTTGGAGATACTTTTGGACTGAGATTATGGTAAATTATTACTTACAAGGCTTTAATTTCAGAAATGTAGTTTGAGTTTTGGTTTCTTTTGTATTTTATTTATTTAGCCTAAAATATGACTTGTCAGTTTCCTCAAAAATTCTAAATATCTTCAAGATCCAAGTGAAATGTCAGTTCACCTTTAACCCCTAGAATAATGTTTGTAGATAATTTTTCTGTCTTCACATTTCATTTTATTCTTAGTTCTGTCTCACTTTTTTTCTGTTTTCACTCTTTATAGATTTCTTAATGGTTTCTTGGTTTTGGTGGTAATATATATTGCATTTGCAAAAGGTGAGATACATAGCAGACACAAAATCTGTTCACTGAATCTTAACTAAATTATTTAGATGATTTCTAGAGCTTTCCACGAAGATAAAACAAAGATATCTGAATCCAAATAATATAGGATTTCAGGGGAGGAGGAAAGTACAAATCAGTGAAAAAGAATCTGACCTGAATTTGCATGCAACATTTTAACCCTTACTACAGAGGAAAACTTAAGCCCATGTCACAGAGACTAATTGGCTTGAAATTTAACAGTTCCTTCAAAGAAATAGAAATGTTTGCATGAAGGTATGTGAGACTATATTCCCTGGAAGATCTTTCCGGATTAAGATCAGGATTACAACAAAAGCTCAGAAAAAAATTTCCTTAAGCATAGATGAGATTGTATCCAACAGCAGGAGGTTCTGGTCAAGATTGAAATTGTAATAGAAGTAGTGAATACAATAATCAAGAACAAATGCTGTTCTTCAAAAGTTTGATGGCAAATTCATCATTGTGACAAAGTACTAAAAGTCTGGATATTTTTAAGGTAAATATTCACTGGATTGGATAAAATGTATCTGAAACTGACAGTAGCAGAATTCATCATGGAAAATGCTGGGGAATGTGTTCATTGCACTGGTAAACTGCTCCAAATGGATAAAGAACCAAAAGTTCCCCTTAGCTGACTTCATCCTTATCTGTTTGGCTGTGTCCAGAATCAGTTATCTGTTGGTGATACTGTTTGATGCATGTATGATAGAAGTATCTCCATATGCATATAGGTTTATAAACTAACAAAATCCATTATTGATCTTTTTCAGTGTCTGATCACTTCACCAATTGCCTTTGCACCTGCCTACGCACTTTCTCCTTCCCCAAGAAAGCCCATTTCTCCCATCCCTTTTTCTTTTAGGTGAAGTAGAGGATGAACAGAGTGATTCTTGTGCTTCTTACATTTTCTTTGTTCTTACTGATTTTTGATTTTCTATTGCCTGAATCACTTACTGCTATCACATATAATATCTTTTTGATAGATAAAAGTAATCTGACTTTATATTAAAGTGATGTTAAAAATCTATCTCTTAATTTGACCCAGGGATACCCTTTAAAAAATGTGATTATTAACTTGGACTTTGAGTTCCACTCATAGTATCTGTTAGATGAGGTCCTTTAAAAAATGGACCTGTTATGAATTATATTTTTAGAGATAACTAGAAACTCAGTTGTTTGGTTGTCATGACTTTGGGAAGTTAACCTAACTCCTAGCTCTTTTATCTGAAAAGTGATAATAAATTTTCCCTCATAGGGTATATATGGAAATTATGAAGATAATGTATGTAAATAACTTTCTGTAATTCTTGGTATTAAACACTTAATAAACTTAAAAAGTATGCTGATAGGGATTATGTGCTGCTTTTTCCCCCTCCAGGCATCACAGCTTTACCTTGAAAAAACAAAACAAAGCAAAACACTTCTCTATCCCTTAAGTTATATATATTGCTATGTTATTTTTTATGGTTAAATAACTCATAGCACAGTTACTATTCTGCAGGATTTTAGAATCAGTTATATTCTTAAATAACTTTTTTGTTTATTCATAATAATTGTATTACCTCTTTGCTTTCTCATGCTTGAGCAATCTCTGAACTAACATTTATGATGCCCTAAAAAACTCAATTTATGGACAATAACTACCGGTGGCAAAGGTATCTTTGTTTCCTTTACTGACTGATGATTATATATAGAATAACCAATTAAATTGGCAATGACTTATTCATTCAACAATATTTATTATCCACTTTCATCTGGCAATGTGCTTTGCTTGGGAATAAAGCAAGAAACCTATAAATCATTGCCGTTATGGATGCGATCTAGAAGTATGCTAACAGGAACAAAATGGCTTATGAGTTAGAAAACTAAGTGGTTTAGTCAGGGAAAAAATGTATTTTTTTCCCCAGGAAACTTTATTGAAATGCAGCGAGTGGGAGGAAAAATATACATCAAGGTTTGGGAGCAATTGTGCAGAATAAATGGTAAATCACTGTGTATTTGCTGATACTACAGGGTGTGAAACTGGATAGGACACAGTACCTTCCTCCTCAGAGCTTCCAATCTGGTTGGAGGATATGATAAAATGATGTTTGGTATAAAGTGGCTTAAATTCTTCTGTGCAGCAAATGATTGATATGAGGAAAAAAAGCTGGAGGAAGCACATATTCATGTAGCCACCAAAATGAAGTAACCCACTGTGTCACCATTTCAGTGCTAATGCCAGGCACACTTTTTTTTTTTTGGTACTCGGGATTGAACTCAGGTCCTTGCGCTTGCGCAGTAGGCAGCGAAACCACTGAGGTAAATCCCCGGACCCCAGGCACACTTTTCAGTGTAACAAATTATGACATTAATGTCTCTGGGAAATAGTAAAGCCTACCATTCTAAGTTCATTGATATTTGTTTTATTGACTGAATTATATTTTTGATATTTTAAAGTAAAATGTGTTGGTTTCTGCTGTTAACTGTCCAGAAAATGTCTCCTTAGCTATATAAAACAAAACTAGAAAATTAATGCACAATTAGGGGAAAATAAGGCAGCCTATGAAAATGGCATTCATTGCTATTAACATAGCTTTTACCTGGTCAGGGGAATTTAGGAAAAATTCATGTAAAAACATGCCATCTAAGCTTAGCCTTAAAACACGGAAGAATATAGGCAGAAAAATGGTTGAGGAAGCAGATGGAAGAGGAACATTTTCTAGAAAAAGTTTGGCTAGAGACAAGGAATAAATAGGGGGAAGAACAATTACACAAAGCCAAACATGGTGCTGAACGCGTCAAGACTTTTCTTATTTTAAAACCATAAAGTATTGTTTGGACACAATGAGTGGAACAAAGAATGGCATTAATTTAAATCTGTCAGGAAATAAGGGTTCTTTCCTGCTCAGATGTCTCACCTAGAATCACGGTAGAAGTTCATTCCAATCCCTTTAGGGTCCATACCCTAACTGTAACCATGGGACTGAAAACTACCTCTGAAAAAGCAGGCTTTCCATATTTCATTTTACACTTTGTTCATACTTTAATGTGACATTCTGTCACAGCATATAATACATACACACACACACACACATATATACCCATGTATCTATTATTGTAGTTTTAAAAAAAAAGTGTTTATACAGGGCACAGAGGTGTTCATCTGTAGTCTGAGTACCCTGGGAGGCTGAGGCAGAAAGATGCAATAGTTTGGCGTTAGATATGTTTGTCTCTGGAGAAAGAAAATCGGGTAGGGAAAGAAAAGGCAAAGGTTTGCTGTTTTGCATTGTCAGCCTAACAGTACTATTTAACTATGTATGTGCTTTTATTTGACTAAAAACTAATTTAAATACATTTTGCTTTTAACAGTTCTCTAGGTAATTGAAATATACACCACTGGTTCAATGTAAGGTCTTTTAATCCCAGTACTGCAAAAAAAGACAAAAAACAAAAAACAAACAGCCCAACCCCAACAAAAACAAGTATCTTATACTGCTTTTTCTGAATTTTCCTATATTAGATTATTACTATTTTTAGGGCTGAAGATTAAACCCAGGGCCTCCTGCATGCTGGGCAAGCGTGCCCTGCCCTCTATATTAGATTTTGACCAAACTTCCACCATTATACATACATCTCTCTCCAACTCCACCTTCTCAAAGTTGCATAATCATTTTTTGTTAAATCAGTGGCCAATATTTAAATGACTGAGTGACTTTATATGACTAGTATCACAGTTGAGAGACACATTGTAGTTTTTGAACCTTTTATTTTTCCTGTTTATTACCAGTTTGGTTTTCTTAAATTTGAAAAATCTGTAATTATTAATTCACTCACAGACTTTGAACAACAAAAAATCTCTAATATATTCAAATATACCGGGTGCTTTAACAGTTTTTTTTAGAAATCTCACTTGAATTTACCATCTTCCAGCATTTCCGGTTGACTTCATACTCTTCTCCCTACCAACTTTCCCCTTTAATACTTACATTACTGTTTTAGAAACTTTAAGGCTAATAAGATCTTCTTTCTCCTCCAGAACAGATTGCACTCTCTCAACTTCACAATTTTTAAGGACACCAGAACCATTTTATTTACCTCCCTCTCCCTCTTCCAACATTGCCACTTGTCCATGTATTTGTACATCAAGGATAACAATTTACATTCTACTCTGCAGCCATGATTAAGTATTCCTTTAAAGATGAAAATCATACACAACATTTCCATTATAATTATTTAAATGTTATTCACAAAATAGCCAAGTTTTATGCTATGACTGGATTTCCTTTTCTTTAGCTCCAAGGTCCTAATCCAAGCGCTGTTCACAGGGACACTGAGGTAGAGTCCATTTTCTCCCGCTTCCACCATTTGTTCAAAATTCTGCAGCGTTTCAGGTCCAGTATTTGGAGGATGTTTTTCTTGTATAGTTTGTTTTTCACTGAGAATTTTGGTATCGTTTTCTTCTGGGGTGAAGAAATATAGGCCTTCCACTTCATATCCGCAATACCATGGTTATTCGCTTACAATCCGGTCCAGTATTTCCGAAGTCCACTGATAGCTTCATTTTAAGTTACACAGTAAGTCTGTTTTCATTTAACAGTTTTTCTGAAAAATTTGGCCTTCCTTTTTTCATAACGCATTCTGTGCCCTTTCTCATATCCCGAAATCTGTCTGGAGTTCATTTTAAGGATACACAGCTTCTTAACCATTTTCCTGGGTCTTAGCCGAAGGTCTCCCTTCCCGGAACAGCGTCTCTCCGCTGCCTAAAGCCCACGGGATTTCCCCCACAGTTCCGGGACGGCTCGGCGCGGAGAGTTCACTCGCGGACGGCGCCCTCGAAATCTCGCGAGATTGCGGGGCTCGTCCCCAGCAGCTTCGCTGCGCCCGGGGGCCTCCTGGGAGTCCGCCATCCTGCCGGCCTCCGGAGGCCAGCAGCTTGCTACCGGCTTTATATGTGTACCTGCAAGCGGATGTTCAATATCACAGAGCCTGCGACGTAGAAATAGGGGAAGTTGATGCGCAGCTGCCAGGCCAGCTCGAAGAAGGCGAGCAGGGTGCGGGAGAGCCCCTTGCAAAAGACCCCGTATGAAGTGGGGGCCACTGGCGGGTTTGAAGCCCTGATGGCCAAGGAAGACAGAGTCGCCGCCGGGGCCATGGACCAGCTGTCACCGCCCGCCCAGCGCCTGAAGGCAAGGTCCCCGCAGCCTCCGCAGACCCCTGTGCCACAGCCAGGAACAGAGGGTAAAGCGGCCCCCCAGCTCACACCTGCGTGTCCCGCAGCCGCTGCTTGCTCCAGTGTGGCGCTTGGCTGCCACCGGCGCTCCGCCCCTTCCTGTCAGCTTCTAGTGGTTGTTCAGAGTTTAACCAGTGGTAGGGCTGTGTTATATAACTTGTACGCACAGCCGCACCGGTATTTCCACTTTAAAATGAAAAAGCTAAGTGAAATTATGTAATTTTCTCAAGGGCATACAGTTTATAAGGCCCAGATGGGGTTAAAATTCGTGTTTGTCTGCTATGTGATGAGAGATCTTAGCTACCCTTTTGATATATTTAGTTGTACTGTTAGGGTAAGATGATCTTACCTAAGCCAGTGCAGACAGAGTCTGTCTTCGTTATTCACCATAAGTGGAATGAAAGGTCGCAGTCATAGGGTATGGATTTTCCTATGTACAGATTAGTATTATTTAGCTTGCAAGTGGCAACTCATTAAAGCAAAACAAACCTTCCCCCACCAACCTTTTTTTTTTTTTTTGTACTGCGTATATACAAAGACATTCCCACTCGAAGGAGATCCGATTAAGTGTGGGATTTCCAGTTATTTCAACATGCAGACGCACTTGAGAAACCTGGGCTAGGCTGCAAGGCTTGAAATACTACTGACATTTCCTGTACTTTCATACCATCAAAAGCCTTAAGCTTACATAATAGGTCTCCCATAGCCACATTGCTTTCCTGATGTTTAAATGATGCACATTTCATTACCTTCACTAAGCTCCCCCCTTTTTTTCCCCATTGAGTTTATTGGTACATTTTAGGTATAAAATACAGTTACATTCCTCATTGGGATCTTGTACCATTACATGATTATCTTGGTTCCTATTTTTTTTCCCCTTCCCCTGCCCTCCCTTCACCCCCTCCACCCTTCCCTATTTGCAAAGACTTTGTTTCTATTTTTTTCCTTTTCTCATGTTTTTTTCTCTCCTTTCCCCTATCCCTCCCACTTCCCCTGCTCCTTTAGACCTTTTCTTCCTGTTACACAATATCACTTATACATTTTTAAAATTACAATATCAAGATCTAGAAGACATTACCACAGATTTACAGAATTTAAAAGGATATAGAAAGCATATTACAAAAATCTTTTTTGAAATAAATTTGACAACTTCTAAGCAGTACCTTGGAAGACAAATTAATGAAACTAACTCTGGAGGAAATACAAAGTTTGAATAGCACCTATTAAAGAAAGTATATTCCTAGCTTGAAAACCTACCTATATGACAACAACAGGCTCATATACATTTTAACTGATAAATTATAGCAAACATTTAAAGCAGGATCACTTTCTCCCCACATTTTAGGAAATCAATATTGTGCTAATACTAAAACTGGATGAAGATAATAGGAGAAAAAAGTATGAACAGAGATAGAAATTTGTTTAACAAAACAAGCTATTAGAAGTCAGATCTGGAAGTATGTAAAAAGTGGTTTTATTATGGGGATGGGAGTGTTGATTCAGCATTGGAAGATCCACCCCTAAAAGTCATCATTTTAACAGAGGAAAGGAAAAAGCCATATGAACTAAGCTCCTATTTTAACTAGAGAGTACTGTATTTGTCATCATACATAACCTACCTTCATGGATTATTGCAGATGCATGGTTTGTGATCATAACCATAATGAAAATTTTTGTTCAAACATTCCGTATCTCACCCCATATTGATTATCAGTGGCAGCTATTCAAATTATAATTACTGTAGCCTTGTGTGCTTGTTTCTATATATTCTAATGACATGACTGATAGAAATAACAGGCCATTTTGAAATTTGTAAAACTTAATTGTGTGTCCTCAGCTACAATTTCTTCTTTTCGTACTTTATGGTACCCCAGCAACTAGAGGAATTGATTACTTATGACAGCCTCGAAAATACTGGTATAGAGACTGAAGAGCAAAATGATTGACCAAGAGAATATCTATAGTTTCAATACACACTTAAAATTTATTCTCTCTTAAAACTGAAACAATTCAGGGCTGGGGATTTAGCTTAGTGGTTCCTCCGCCTGCCTCATAAGCTCAAGGTCCTGAGTTCCATCCCTGGTACCAAAAACAAAACAACAACAAGAAAACTGAAACAATTCACAGAGCTAGTAGTCAGCATTCACAGTTATAGAAGTCATTAAGTCCCTGGATCTTTTACTATAACTATGTAAGATTATGTGTCCTTATTCTGTCTTCCATTTCTCCCTTGTGCCAATCCCCTTTCAGGCCTGGCCCTGATTAGCATAGAAATAAATCTGGAAAATCCTGTCTTTCACTCTGACTCTTTGAGGAATATAAGTAGCTATCCACTGATGCGATAGCTTTGTTGAGGGCCTATTCTAATGGGAAAGGATATGTAAAGATCAGTCACAAAGTCCCAGTCTCTATAATGCTCTAGAGCCAATGAAGGATTTCCATCAGGTGAACCTGACAGTGGAGGGTGGGATAGGATCAGTATTTTAGATGGTTGTGGTTTTTATTCTGTCCCTTAAACTTTAGACTTGAAGGACTAATTTCTTGCCAATAGGAACATAGCAAGCAATCACCAATAATATGTCTTAAACCATTCATCTGTATGGTACTTTATTGACTTCACTTGGCCTTCCCCAACCTTTTTTTAATATCCCTGGTTTTGATTCTGTATCCTGGCTTCAATACTTTTTAAAGGCTTATTTAGCTCAATGATCCTTCAGAAAGGTTATAAGGTAAGCTGCAGCGGGTTTGCAAACTACCATATTGCTGAATTCTCAGTTCTTAAATTTACCAATGTAAGTACTCTGTTATGTAAAAAAATAAGTTCAGAATGTAAGGATTGGATCCAGACGATCCAAGGCTGAAGGTAAGAAAAATTGCAAATTGGTAACAGGATGTTTCATATTTGCTTCCTAACAGATTGGGTTCAGTTTCAATCATTACCATACATGGAAAATGCCTGAAGTTTAGTGAAAACTTTTGCATAAGTTTAGTAAAACTCTGAAAGGAAAATAAGTTGTATGTATCAGCTAGATACCAGTAATTGGGTTACATAGCAACTTTGGGCAATTTTTGCATGCAGACTGTAAAATCAAGCATAGATAGGTCATACTGAAGTAGAGTATCAGTTGCAACATTGAAAATTAAGATTTTTTTCTGTGCTAATTTTAAGAGAATATTTTGCTGATGGTGGTATTAATTCATGTTTAGAATGTTTGAAAATGATTATCCTGGGTGCCTTGATGCACTGTATTTGGAAGGTGTCTTTAATAGTCTTCATCAGTGTAGCCATTTCTAGAATTTGTCAGCTATGTTTATACCACACTACTGAGTTTTGTTAACACCAAACTTAACATTCTTTCCTTTAGGGATTGGTGAGTTACTTAAAACCTTCTATTTTGCTTTCTACCTAATAATTTTTTTTAACTCAAGATACCTATTTTTTCTCAACCATTTTTCTCTGGATAAAGTATAAAAGTAATCATATAATTGTGATTCTGATGGAGTCTTTGTTCTATTAACATTTCATTTGGAAACAAATTCAGTGTTTTGTGATGGCATATCACTAAAATATGAAAAAACGCTAAGACCTTGAAAGCTATAGTCTCTTATTTTTGTCTTTAACAAATAGTATTGAAAACTTTTATAGCAAATCTGATTCATTTCTATAGAATATTACCATAGCTAAATGTATACTCTTATTTCTAGAAAGACTTTTTTCTCTGTTCTCCCCCTCTTTTACCTCTTTTAGATAATGGAACATACATAGTAATTGTCAGATTATTAAGATCTATTCTATTTTTGGTTACAAAGGCCAGAGGTGTTCCATGAGAAATCATCTATTTATTGATCTTTCACTAAAAATTAAAAAATAGATTGACAAGCTTGTAAACCATGCATATGGAAGAGTATGAGATATATATATATATATATGTATATATGTATATATTCATACATATATTTTGGGAAATAATTTGAGAATTCTGCTTTTTTTTTAGAGGGTAGGAAACAATGAGAAATTATTGTGTTTACTCTTAACAAGGAGAATAAACTACTGGGCAACAAATTCATAGTTTATTTTGAACTTATTAGAGCTGAGATTGCAAGGTAAGCAGGTAAACTGAATTCCAAAAAATGATGAGTCCTTCCAGGTAAAATATACAAACTCTTTTATCTTTGGTAGTACTGAGACAGAAGAAGTATCTACTGTAAATGTATGTCAGAAAAATGGCTGCAACTTCAACCAATTATTATATTAGTTAATAGGGTATGGATTCTGCTTAAGATTCCTGGAAAACTCAGACACAGAGTGATATGCAATTGCCACTTCTTTTCTCTGGTGCTCTAGCAAGGATTTGCTAGAAAGACTGGAGACAGGTCAGGAGATCTAAAAAAGATCCTTTTTCATACATGACATGGTAGGCAGAATAATGACCCTCTAAAGGTGTTTATATTCTAATCCTGGGACTTACATGGTGTGAGAACTTTGCAGATGCAATCAAGGATATGCACCTGGATTATTTCAGTGGCTGTAATTAATAAGCCCTTAAATGTAGAGCCTTTGTCTTAGCTAGAGAGAGACACATAGGGAGAGGAGAGGAGAAAAGCCAAAAGCCATGTATTACAGATGGTTTCTAGGAGCTGGAAATAACAAGAAAATTGATTCTCTCTTTCTGCTTCCAGAAAGAAATGCAGCCCTGCTGACAACTTGATTCTTAGCTGAGTGAATCCTATGTCAGAATTCTGATGTATAAAACTATAAAATCGTGATGTTTAAGTCACTGAATTTGTAATAATTTGTTATAGCAGAAATAGAAATCTAAAGTACATGTGAACATGGTCTGCTTAATTTTGAAGGTGGAACTAAGCACTAGAGAAGTCCACCTGTATTTTAGACCCCATATAAGTGAAAGGTGGTCATGGGCTACTGCTGAGGGACAAGCAAGAGAACTCATGTTCTGAATCCTTCATTGAGCAAAATCTGCCACTGCCAAGTGAAGAGCAGGCAATCCACTGTAGTTTGGACTCTACTCTGACACCAAGCAAAAAGCCCTGGAACTGGAGGAATAAGAAAACTCTACCCCTGGACCTGCAATGACACGTGTTGGAGGTCTG